TACGCCTCAATCCTCAGAGAGTCCATTCACCTGCCTAAAACTGAGCCAGCCTTTTCTATCGACCACCATAAACTTCTGATCGCGTCAAACCAAGAGAGAATTTTCTTCTCCCTCTACAAAGTATGTCTCTATAAGTAAATTTCCATTATCATGGTCCACTTCCTCACTGATATTCAAAGACCCTTGGCATCAGAGAAGTCGACCACAGGAAGACAACGCAGACAGTGACGGTGGGTACAGTTTATTGTAAAGGTGCATCTTATTAAACATTGATAAACAGTGAAAAACACACATTTCTGTTCAGTGACCTCGTCTGTGACAAACAGGTGAGTCTTTGGTGTCACTCAGGTTAAAATAAAACCCCTCAGGTTCTCCATTGTCATCGTATCAAACAGAGATATTTACGAAAACGTACAAATATTGTACACAAATTACAGCCGTAAGTGAGCCGCTAAAAAACTGGCCACAAAAGAAGAAGGAAGGTAAACATTAAAGTACACTGTGCAAAAGTCCAAAGTGCTGGTATGTACTGAAACGTGTGTCTGTGTTGTTTTTTAGTGTTTGTAGAAAAACTTCCTGAGGAAGAAGCTGCACGACCACAACTCGGTGTTAAAGAAAACCTGCAGATAAATAAATGTTCAGCCAGTGAGAGTCTCAGTTCTTCTTAAAAGTCTAAAAGTCCCCTTAAATGCAATCTACATAGCCCCTGCACACAATCATCATGTGCGTATATTTTATTATCTTGCAGAAATGTTTGTATCTTGAGCGTCAGGGGCGTGTCCAGACTTTGGGGTGACCCAACTGGGGGACTGATTACGCAGGGGGTCGCCTGAAGTGTGACGTGCAAACACAAATGAATATCAGTTATTTACTTTTTCTAATTTCAACAATCATATCCACTTTACAACACAAGATAATGGAAAGATAAATCTCCTGTTCTCTTAATCATTAAAGGTCACGTATTCTCTAAAATCCTCTTCTCCATGTTCCTCTAACTCTAACATGTGTCTCTAGTCCGTCTACAAACCCCCCAGTGATGAGAAAAGTCCATCCTCTCTGTCTTCTGCCTGCTCCACTTTTCAGAAAATGTGTGCTCAAACAGGCCGTTTGGAGATTTTCCCTTCATGACATCACAAAGGGCAGTAGCCCCTCCCCCAGGTGGGTGACACTCCCACAGCTAGGTGTTTGTTCTGCCCTCTGAGTCTGCCTTCTCACCGTAAACAATAGGACATGGAGCGAGAAAGACCGAGACACCAAAGCCCTTCCAGAGAGGGGGCGTGGTCAGACACAGCTCATTTACATATTTAAAGGTACAGACACAGAAACAGCCTGTTCTGAGCAGGGCTGAAATAGAGGGGTTTATAGACATGATCAAATACAGGATCAGAGTGGATTTAGAACAAGAAACTTCACACACATGTTTTGAGGAGCTCTGAGACTTATTTAAACTGAAGAAGAGGAGGAGGAGATGTGACCTTTAATGACACACAAAGATGTATGTTCCATTTTACAATTTAAGGTACTTCAAAAATGTAAGCAAACTCCCACACACTGTCTAACTTACAGAAATACATTAATCAGCAATGTTTGGCCCCCCAAAAAGCCAAATAGTTCATTGCACTTGAAACAGTTTGCATTACTTTCTAATGCACCTGTTTTATAAAACAGATGCCTGTCAGCACCTGTGTGTCCAATCGGACTCAAAGCTGATCGTTTGCACTTACCGACGTTGTTTCCTCTTTTCTAGATCCTTGCTTGTGTTGTTCTTCTTACTCTCTGATGTACGTCTGCTAAGTGAATTGTAGAATTCTTGATGTACAAAGTATTTATTTACAATTTAAAATACAAAAAAAAATTAACTTAAAGCAGCCTTTTGCAAAAAAAAATCTAGAATAGTCGCTTCAGACGGGGCAAACAGCCAATCAGAGTTTCAGATTTTTGGGGTGGCCAATCAGATTTTAAGGCCGCCCCTCTGGACACGCCCCTGGTGTGCGTACAAGATGAAGTATTTCAACAAGATAATAACTTTAGCCCACATGTTAATTATGTTGTTCACACCATATTATTATCATGTCTGCACAAGTTCGATGACAACTTGTGCAACATTTGATGAATTCATAAAGACTGGATGCAACAAAAAAATCAGCTTTTTGTTTCCTGTTGAGGTCATTGATGTTGACATGATCTCACTTCTTAGACAAAAAGTTGTGTAAAACGGGAAACACGTCAAACAACAAAACAGACGCAGAATTTTAACAAACTTCATCAAAAAGTGTCTTTATCTCACAGATTTTGTTAATTTTCTGCTTTGATGAAAATAAAGTTAGTCTTCCAGCTCTTTATATACAAAGATCTAAAGCTCTTGGTTTGTCTTCTTCGACTTAAGAACGCATGCTGTCTGTACGTACATCTGGTGTTTTTTAGGATATTTTGCAACTGTTTCTGCAGCTCTGTGCAGACGGGCTCAGAGGGGGAGGCCGAATCAGTCTGGGTTTTTTCAGCAGCGCTCCTCCTGTCCTCTTGGTGGCGCCATGGTGAGCAGCAGCGTTGGCAGTGACGGAGTAGGAGCGTCCGTGCATCATGCGGGCGTTGAGGCCGTTGGCCATGGAGAAGGACTTCAGGTGGGACTTGAGAGTGAGCGGGAGGGGGAGCTTATCCACCAGGTGAACGGGCGTGCAGGAGACGATGGAGCGACAGCAGAGGTCCTGAAGGCTCAACACTGAGAGAGAGAGAGAGAGAGAGGGAGACAGAGAGAGAGAGAGAGAGAGAGAGAGAGGGAGACAGAGAGCGAGAGAGAGAGAGAGAGAGGGAGACAGAGAGAGAGAGAGAGAGAGAGAGAGAGGGAGACAGAGAGCGAGAGAGAGAGAGAGAGGGAGACAGAGAGCGAGAGAGAGAGAGAGAGAGGAGACAGAGAGCGAAGAGAGAGAGAGAGAGAGGGAGACAGAGAGAGAGAGAGAGAGAGAGAGAGAGAGAGGGAGACAGAGAGACAGAGAGGGAGAGAGAGAGACAGAGAGAGAGAGAGAGAGCGAGAGAGAGGGAGACAGAGAGGGAGACAGAGAGAGAGAGAGAGAGAGAGAGAGAGAGACAGAGAGCGAGAGAGAGAGAGAGAGAGAGAGAGGGAGAGGGAGAGAGAGGGAGAGAGAGACAGAGAGACAGATAGAGAGAGAGAGACAGAGAGCGAGAGAGAGAGACAGAGAGAGCGAGAGAGAGAGAGAGAAATCTACAAGTTAATCATCTATTAGTTTTAAAGGTAAGTTAAATTTAGAGGTAAGTGTTCATGGTGTGTGTGTGAGAGTGAGTTCTTGTATATCTATCATTGTGAGGACAAATACTTTAATCATACAAAGTGAGGACATCTTGGGAAATTTGAACTCAGACTTGATTTGAAGGTTGCAATAAGAGAAATGTTAAAGGGCTAGGGAATAAACTAGTTCAAGTACATTCCTCTCTGGATAAAATTTATTTTACATAAAATATTTTTTTTGCAGGGACAAAGGCTTCATACGTAATACACGATGATTAGCATTTGTGTCTGCAGGTATTCCTTTCATACACATAAACTTTCTTAATGGTAAAGTAGTGAATGATTTAGTAAACAGGCATCTGTAACGGACAGAAAGGGCAGCTGCCAATTAATCCTCTCCAATCTATGCATCATTTCAGGAGGTTTCAGTTTAAAACGGAACATTAAATAGTGAGGTGAAAAGCAGTTCTTTTCAGTGTACTGAATCAGTAGAATCAGTTCAGTAAAGTGATTCGTTCAAAAGATTCGTTCACCGAATCATTCAGTACTTCTCAGCAGCTCTGTCTGTGAATCAGAACGTTTAGTTCTGCTCGCGATCGTACTGAGAACAGCCGGTGGTGAATAATAAACCAATGAGCTGAGAATTTAGTTGGATAAAGTTCCAGTTTGCAAACTGAAAGCTGCTAAAACATTCACATTTATTTTCCCCCGACCGTTCTGTTCAGTATGTTCAGAACACAAATCACTCACTGACTGACTGAGAGGGAAAGAGAGAGAGGAGGCGGAGCTCTCGTTCAGTTCGTTCAGTGATTCATGTCGGAGCTCTCGTTCAGTTCGTTCAGTGAACGTGAACGAGCGAGACTGCGAGTCACCAGCCTCAGTCACACACACACACACACACACACACACACACACACACACACACACACACACACTGTACTGACTGAAACATGATCCTTAGTGGATGTTAAAACAGTCAGCTGAGTGAAATTGAGTTGGATATAAAAGCCGTTTGTAAACTGACAGCAGATATAAAAAGCACAAACATTTTCGCGACACCTAAATGTTAAATAATATATTTGCTACTTCCTCAATTTTGGAGACATGAGAGGGAGAAGTAGAGACGGGCTTTAGAGACACAGAGCTCCTGACCGACTCCGTCCTGTTGGTTCAGTCAGTACGTATCACTGACATGAGAGGAGAGGGAGGGCGGGCTTTGAGAGACTCTTATGGTCTAGAGAGAGACACGAGACGGGAGAGAGGAGAGAGCAACTGAAGTTGAGAAATGAACGACTCTTTTCAGTAAGTGATTCAGTTCAGTTCGTTCACCCAGATGATTCGTTCGTTTTGAACGAATCGTTCATGACCGAAACATCACAAACATTAAATGTTTAATGTGAGGGGGAATGTCTTCAACGTGCTGAGTGGAAATCAAACACTTTCAAGGATCCTTTTGAGTTTGACAGATAGAGATATCTTTATTGTCAATGTAAAAGTGCAACAAAATAATGTTGGAGCAAACCAGTAGATGACTAATAGAACTAGATAAATATACAAAATATACAAAAACTAAACTAAACTACAAAAATACAAAATATCTAAACAACCAATATACAGCATGTACAAATGTTTATAATCAAATGTCAGGTATTGAGCTTATACTGATGGAAAATTGCACTTATGTTTGTTGAGAGTCAGTGTGTATGGGGGGGAGGGGCTGGTAATTAACGTTACTCACAATCCCTCTACTCTGGTGACAACACATAGCAATGTTATTGACATATTTTAATGGTTTTATGACTGGAAAACCTCTGAAAAAAACTTTCATAATTATTTCTAATAAAACAAACAGAAAGTCAGCTTTTCTGTCACTGAAGAGGAGGTGTGTTGTGTTTCCGTGTCCAGCAGAGGGCAGCACATGCCACTTAAAGCTTAATATAAAACACTGCTTTCAGTTTTCATGAGGACTTGAGAGGGAATCTTTGTTTCTACATGAGGTCTTTAAAACAGTTGAATTCTAACTAATTTTCCTCAATCTGAGTATTTTTTTTAACATGCCCCTTTCTTCCTAGTTTCTGCAACTCTCTGGGAAATGTTGTACTTTTTACTTAAAGCCAGCTTAACATGTATTTATGAGGAGTACTGAAACTAAACTAAAAATTGTTAGATTTATTACAGTTAGGGTCACAAACCACTTTTTCTTGATTACACTTTTACTCTTCAAATTCAGGAACTTTACAGTTTACAGTGTATATTATTATTTTTATTTGGTCAATAATTTAATTATTTAACATCTCGATTTGTTTGCTCACCTTTGTTGGGTCTCCACAGTCGCTCCATGCCGTGTCTCATCAGGACGATGCGAGCGAGTTCTGTGAACGACTCTGTGATGTTGAAGTTACACAGTGGACTGACCTCGAAGAATGTGACGCCCAGCTTCTCCGCGTACACCTGCGCCTGCTCCGTGGTCACCTGACGCTTGTAGGCTAGGTGAAGGCGGTTCCCGACAAGGATCTTTGGCACCCCAGGGGCATGCTGGGTAATCAGGGGGAAAAATCATCAGATTATTCCAGTTATTTGGTATAAGAAGTTACGCCTTGGTTAACTGACCTTTTGTGAATAAAACAGTCTGACAAGGGTAAGTAACTTTCAAACACACCAGAGAACAGAGTGATTTTGTTTGGGACTATTTTCAGCAGCGGATTAATCCACATTTTGTTAAAATGCTGAACCAACTACTGAGACCAACTACTTTTTCTGAAAAAAATCAAATAAAATTCTGCTTTATTTCCTTGTTAATTGTTTAGCACCAATACACCAAGTCAAATTCCTTGTATGTGTAAATGTACTTGGCAATAAACCCAGATTCTGATTCTGATTCTGATTCTGATTCTGATTCTGAGAGGATCAAATAGGTAAAATTGAAGATGGGGTCCTGGTACACTCAGTGATCACAGCGTGTTGTGTTTCTGATGTCCAGGCCTGTTTCAGAGCAGCTTTGTCTGCAGTGATGTGTGGGTTGTTGTTGTGAGCGTAGTTGACTCATTGAGAGAGGAGCCCAGATTGTCTGTTAAATAACAACGTGCTGACTGGAGTAAAAGATCTCTTCTGATGTAAGGAACACAAAAACAATCGGAGTCAGTGTAGAAACATCGATGAAAAAAGATCGACTGACGGCTTCATCACTGACCTCGTCTATCTCTTTGATCCATCGATCGATTCCATCGAAGGACCAGCGGTTTGTGATGTCGTACACCAGAATAACTCCCTAAAGAGCAGAGGTGAGGAGGACATTTTTACAAATTGAAATTAATTCCAACAGCAGCCATCAAATCAGACCTATAATGATCAAATCCTGTCCAAAGCAAAAACACAACCTTGGACTGAAACACATTGTCAGTAGAGATGTTACCAAAGCATCAAATAATAAACATCATTACAGACATGTATAAAATGAATCCTTGTTTCCATCCACTGTTGCTGCACATTCTGCAACTATATTAATGATAAATCAATTACTTCTCGACAAATGTCATGTTTCAATACATGTAAGACAATAAAAATTACAAATCTGACATTTATTGATAAAAACATTCCTAGAAATTCAGAGTTAGTTGCGTTCCTAATAAGATGAAACTCTCTACAGCTCAAACACAGCAGTGGATGTTAGCGCAGGTCTTTATCAAGTCGCAGAAATGAGACAAAGTAAAGATTCATGATCAGCTTTCGAGCCTCGCCAAGTGACGACGGTGTCACTGTTGCCATGGCGATATCTCCTCTGTACCCGCTAAAAGCCTGATGAGCGCTCCAACAACACAACTTCATTCAATGAAAAGTGCTCTCTTTCTTCTCCGCTGGGAACACAACAAGGAGCGGTCTGTGGCTGTTTGATGTGTGGGATGGATTTCTTCACACATCCACTCACTGCTCAGTGTGTCTGAGGTCACAACAACAACAACAACAATAACACAAAGACACACTCTGAAGGAGGACTGTCACCATACCAGGATTTTAAACTTTGATATGATACCACCAAAAATCAAACAACTTTGATACCTGTTTCAATATCTCAGCAACCACAATAGAAGCCCTAACCTCCAAATATTAAATCATTTCTTGTTTAAATTATAAAACGCTGTGTAAATCGTACAAATCCAGTTTTTCCCCTACCATTATATTAGGGGGCGGCCCGCCCCCCAATACCCTGATGGTAGAGGCCGCTGAGTAAAGAGTCCATCAGTATTAACTCATCCATTAACACACATTCACACACTGATGGTAGAGGCTGCTTAAGAGTCCATCAGTATTAACTCATCCATTAACACACATTCACACACTGATGGTAGAGGCTGCTTAAGAGTCCATCAGTATTAACTCATCCATTCATACACATTCACACACTGCCTGGCCAAGCAGGGGGGGTAACCTCAGGGTTAACATGAGCTGGAGATTGAAAACCCCCGGCCTTCCGGCTTGGAGACGACCGACTCTACCAACTGAGCCACAGCCGCCCAAAACATGGAGAGTGCTGTACCTGTGAAACATACCTGTGCTCCTCTGGAATAGGACCTGAAGATTGTGCAGAATCGTCCCTGGCCAGATGTGTCCCTGAAACAAAGATAGATCAGGGTCAAATACTATTTGTAAAACAACTTGTAAGTTTGATGCTTTAGTACCTTCTAAGTAAACTTTCTACAGTATCTTAATTATCTAAATTCCTTTTTCAAAGTAGAAGCCAAAAGTCTTTGTACAGTACAAACATCTGCCACGGAGATCCGAGACCATGTTTAAAAAAGTAAATACGTTTGTGTTTCATTCCTGGTGTTGAATGTTTCAGGTATTCTGACGGTCACTGCCTTAACTTTAACAGTCAGGCTTCTACAAATATGTTCTGTCTCCCATAGTCTCAGAGGAATCAGCTCGTCCCATACACACCTCTCAGGGTGGTGCTCTCAGGACATCAAAGTGTTGCTCTGTCTCTCTCTTTCTTACTCCACCTGGACTCAATCAAACCATCATTTAGACATTTCACTCTTTGTTCTGTTTTACTTCACAACATGCCACACTTCATAAAGCCACACATCCTCATCCTTTACTGATGGACACACTCCATGTTTGCAGTCATCAAATTGTTGTTGTTTGTTTGTTCCTGTCCTTCTCTTTCATCCTGCATTGCCCTCTATCCCACTTTTCAAGCCTGACACAGTTTCAGCAGAAAGCTGTTCAACATGAGTCTGGTTCAGTCTAAGTTCAGAACAACATTTAATTTAGACGGCGTGTGCAGGAGATTTGGTTACCTAACATTTGGTGTCTAGGACTTCTTTTTTGTTGCTGTGCAATCAAACAGGTATCTTTATATTTCCATTTTTACTAGAATCATATCAAAGTTTACAATTCTGGTATCATGAGAACCCTAATATAGAGTTTTATTATGGATAGTATCTTTGTATTATTAAATGAAATATAAGGTCCTGTGGTGGCTGTAACCAGACTCAACAATCATAATAAAACCACTCAGGCTGTCCTTTAGAGAAACGTGGAACTGAATGTGTTTCTGTGAGTCCACAGAGGAAAACAAGAGTGTTTCCCAACCGCAGAGCTGAATACCAGAGCTGTGTTTTGATTGGCCCTGTGTGGACGTCCACTGGCTGCCGGCCTGCTACCCCTGACCCGGGCCAGAGACCAGGGCCGGCTGCCAGCCTGAACGTCAGGAGGTCCAATAATCTGGGGTCAGGACTCACGATCATCCGATGCTAAGAGAGTCCATCTGCTGTCACAGCTCCTCATCAGAGTCAGAGTCAGAACGTGACGATTAAATCATCCCAAAACAGGAGCTGTGTGTGTTTGTGAAGCTGGATTTACTCAGAGTTTGTGTAGCCATCGGGGGAGGGGAGGACACACACACAGTGTTAACTCAAAGTCCTCTCAGAGGTATTTTTAGAGCGCTTTTGCTCTTAGCCGAGTCAATATTAAATTATTAATCTGAAACTTTGTTTGATGTTTAAGCGGATGAGACGCTTTAGCTCTTTGTGTGTCTCTGGGTGTGTGTGTGTGTGTGTGTGTGTGTGTGTGTGTGTGTGTGTGTGTGTGTGTGTGTGTGTGTGTGTGCTTTAAGTGCACTGTAATCCTTCCTACATAAAGTGGAGGTTTGAAACATGGAGCTCTATACCTAACACTCACATTCATGCAGTCTGTGCATGAGTCTGCTGCCTGTATTATTTGTGCATCACTAATTTTCTTCCTTATTTGTCCCTCGAACAAAATAGGAATTTTATGTGTGGTCATTTTTCTTCTTTCTTCAAGAAGTCACTCAAACCAAACCCAAACCAAATCACTGCTTGATTAACCAAAACTGCTGCGTCTGGTAAGAATGCGTGCATAAAAATAAAAATACCATTAAAACTCTAAACATCTGACTCTGCTCCAAGAAGAGGAGGCCAAGACATAAAAAATCTGAAGCTGCAGCTAATTTTCAAAAATGATTGTGCCAATCAGGCTGATTGTTGTGTAAATCTACGCTGAAAAAAACATTAACTGCAGGCAAGAAGTAAATGTGGCCACTGGGACGTCACTGGTTAGTGGCCTCGTGTTTTTCAGGTCACCACGGTAACGACTTGTCAATCACAGGTAGCCTCAACCTCAGCCTTAACTCCTTCCCTGGTTTCTGGTCTATTCTAATATAAACAGGACCATCATTTATTTTGGAAATTAACATTATCTTGTCAATCAAAGGTAGCCCCGCCCTGACTCCTCCCTTTTCTGGTCTCTTTCGCACCATCATTTACTAAATGAACATCATGCTGTGTTGAAGAATACAGATTGAGAACATAAATTTATTAGAAAAATGTGAACTAGGGGAAGAAACCAACTGACAAGTAGAAACATTTTACTCCTTTTGTGGAGTCGCCCCCTGCAGGTCATTAGATAGAATGCAGCATTGGTCTGACTTCTTAAACCTGAGGCTACATCCACTTCTTACATACAGACTTTAGGCAGAAAAACAACAAAGACTGGGGTGTGTTGTGCTAGTAGACGCTAATGCAGCATGGAGGTTCCAGCCTGCAGCAGAGAAGAGCAGAAGTCTGCGCAGACATCTTTCTGTCTTCATCTTTATGTTTGAGCATGACTTAAGTGACATCACTTGAGGACATTAATCAGACTTCACACACTGTCCTCTGGGGCACCAAAGATTTTCTCCCTAACACCTCGAAAAACATACTGAAACGATGTCAAAATGTTCGATACTTTCTCAATACTGTGTTTTTAGTGATCAAATCGAAAAGTATGGACACTTTAGAAATCTGTTTCTGAAATAAAACAATGCATTTCACGAGACAGTTGTGTAGGACAAGAATTAATCCATAGAACAGTGCAGGCAAACTTTTAATACAACTCTTCTTACAATAATGTTAATCCTGTCCACTTACACTGTTTGGGGTTATATATGTAATAAACAGATATCTAATTAAACCTGAGAGAAAGTCCTTCAAAATTAAAAACCATCCATCTGCAGCCAACATGTCTGCCAGAGGCTGTGTCACCTGAACCAGCCTCTCTGCTGATGATGATCACATGATCTGACAGGAACACAGCGAGGGAAAACAACGAGTGCCGGATTTCTCTCTGGAGGAGAAAAGCATGAGTTTTATCTGGAGAGAGACTGAAGGTGTGAAGAGAGAGAGAGAGAGAGAGAGAGAGAGGACTGTACCAGAGCTGCAGCTTGACTCTCCTCCCGTCCAGGAGGATGGTGGTCGTCTTATAGTCGATCCCTGAGAACAAGACAAAGAGAGAGACAAAAAAACACATGAGGCTCATGCTAAAGAAGATTAGCATTAGCATACTTAGAGATGATGCTTTCTGCAGAAAATGTGTGAAAAGTCAAATGATAAAAGAATCATTGTAAACTTGTTTGGTTGAGTTAAAATAACCAATTGCATGCTGTCCACTTTGTTTTGGTTCGTTAAAGTTTGGTCTGGACTACAGGTGTGAAATCGTTCTTTAGATATAGGTAGTGTTGGTGAGTTTGTTAAGTGAGTCTTCTTGAAAGCAGACTGAGAGCTGAGATTTGAAACTGGTCTTTGCCTGGTTCTTTAGTCCACATTGGACTGTAGAAGAGCTTTAGGAAGGTCAGTTCCTATTCTTAAATTCATACATTTATTCAAAAATATTCAGTCTATCAGCACATCAAGCCGTCTGAAGTAGTTTGATCCAGCAGAGGGCGCTCTCAGTGTGACTTGACCATTGCATGAACTCTCGACCTCAGTAAACGAAGACAGTAATGTTGTGACAAAAGGGGGCGGGGGGCGCTATTCAGGAGATGCAGACTAAAGCCCCATTTCCACCAAGCGGTTCAGTTCTGTTCACACATTTTGTGGCATTTCCACAGTCAAAAGTTGGGAGAGGTCCCAAAATGGCCGTGCCCGTACCGTCCTACTTTATGCAACCCTTCTGTTGGGGTGCCGAGCATATCAGTCTGAGGCAGACTCGTCTCTATGCAGACAGCAGCTAACTGCTTTGGTGGATAGACACAGGGCGTAAGAGATACCTGCAACTCTCCAAGCTGGCTCACTAATGTTTGTGTGTACCAGGAACATGTGTGCGCTGTGACGGGTTGTCAGCAGGTAAGATTGTAAATAAAAGAGAGCTGCACTTGATCCCGATCAAGCTGAAATAAGTCGGTTCTTTCAGATTGTTTTAAGTATATTGACCTTTAAATTCCATCATAAATCATTCAAACACTCCTTTTTAAAGTGTGCCATGTATGCGTTTCTAAAGCGAATTAGAGACTTTTAGTGGAAGAGAGGTGAAATGGTGTCACTTTAAAGAGGTTTTCACAGGGATTAGAACCAGCAACCTCTCAGCCTCCATCCTAATGTTTCCTCTGACAGCAGATTAAGAAAATCCACCGCCGGAGGCTTCAAACTAAGACGGCTTCAGATTTACTTTAAAATACCAGAGATTTGTACCAACGCCCGGCAGCTTTACATAAAGACACACTCACACTCACACTGAAACACACACACACACACACACACACACACACACACACACACACACACACACACACACACACACTGAAACGCTCTCCTGATTAGCTGTTAATATCAGGCTGCTGTCACAGAGTCTCCGCTGGGAACAAAAGCAGCGAGCGGCTCGTCTCTTTTATTACAGTAATTATCAGGAGCTGTCTGCGAGGAGCGACTGCACGGTGATGCTTTCACAATGGCTGCCAAGTGCACACACACACACACACACACACACACACACACACACACACACACACACACACACACACACACACACACACACACACAACTTCACCTGGAGGTTCTCCTCCAGCCTCCTCGTATTTATTCTGCAGAAAGTCAGAGTGAGCTGATGTGAGAACGCAGCAGGATATCCCCCGCTGTGAGGTGCATGTGTGAACGACCACATCAGGAGGATTTCAGGAGCAGTCCTCCTGAAGTTCTGTAGATATTTTTCCGAGTGCAGATGTGAAAAAGGCTTTAGAGTCACCTTTGGTTACCTTGAACCCCAAAACCAGTTCAACCAAACTGGTTCACACTGAAGGCCCAGTCACTACAAATTACATCACTAATACATTCATACATGTGTGTTTGAAAAAGATAGAGTTTAAAGATTTCTTTTTTGGCTTTTTGTGCCTTTAATGGAGAGAAAAAGATGGAGTTTAACGTGACCAAACAACATTTCATCTGACACATTTCTTATCGCTTTTATTTCAGATTTTTACTCGTTTATTTTGTGCTGCATTAAACTGAGCAGCGACTCAGTCAGGTGTGCTCGCTTACTCTGCACACAAACACACACTAAAAGAAATCCATGGAAGAAGAAGAAGAAGAAGAAGAAGAGACACTGAAAGGAAAAGACAGAGACTCTGGGAGTATTAGAGCGAGGAGAGGAGGAGGAGGAGGAACACGATGTGATGTAATACAGGAGTTATTCTGGGAGGAGAACAACACACCAGTCCAACCTACACACATATGTTGAGATTATAACACACACACACACACACACACACACTGGTATACATGATACATGAGGCATCTTGGGAAAGTGGTGTTACATAAGAGAGAGGCTGGAGTGGTGAGGTTAGTAGACACACGTCAAAACCATAAAACAGAACAGACTGAAGCTGCCTGCTGGCTCTCTCTTTGTGTGTGTGTGTGTGTGTACAGTATACTTGTGTGTGTGTAGTTTATGTATACTCTATGTATGAGTGTGTGAGTGTGTGTGTTGGCGGTTGGAGGTCAGTGATGCTCACACTGTTGGCAGTATTAGAGGACCATGCCCGTGTTCTCCAGCAGCACTTGACTCATCATCAGAGATTTTGGGCCGTTGGATAAAAACTTGAGCGTTTGTTCGTCGTCCTGTTTCACCTGAAACAACCTTCTGTCTCTCATTACGCTAACAGCAGGGTTTTTAAAAATGTCACTCCGTCCTTCACCTCGTCCATCTGTCCGTCTTTCACCTCTCAGAATAGAGCCAACATGTGTAACGGAGTTAATGATTCCACTTGCCATCACTTGGCATAGAATGTCTTTATTTGACTATTTCTGTTGTTTAAATACTGTTTATAATTAATTCTAATGAGTATCCACTGGGACTCTGTGTAACATGAGCGCCCTCTGCTGGTGCCCCTGCAGACTTGAGCGGTGCAGCCCGTGTATCTTTGCCAGTCTGCACTATGCTGTCCCCGTGTTAAGTTTATGTGTAAATGAGCTCCGCTAAAATACTACAAAATATGTTTGTTTTTCTTGATAAAAGTAATATTTTTTCATTTCACATGTTTGAGAGAAGCTCCGAAACTATTGTAAAACTTTTCTGTGATCATATTACTGTTTTTGAGTCATTTAGGCTCATCACGTGTGTGTTTTGCTGGCTAAAATGTAACTTCTGATCTCCGTGGTGTAGCTTGCTTAACAGGTCGCTCAATTATTTGTTCTTATATTTTAGCAATGTTGGAGCTTATTACTACGAGAGTGGCTGTGAGAGAGCGTATGTGCTTCTGTTGTTATCAGATTAAACGGCGTGCTGGTGCCAAAAGTAAAAGTGTCTGCCTGATTCATCACACAGCGCAAGAGAGAGTCCACAACCGCTACACATGGACACAGCACCTCTCCTCACCTCACTCCCCCCCCCTCGCTTCCTGTTTACATTCGATGGACTCGGCTTTCTAATCCAGCAGAGGCCACTTTCATTGCGTTATTTTCTGCTATATTTGCTCGGCTACAAAATCTTCAGGCAAACCACTGCAGCAAAATCAAAGTTTAGTTGATAACTAGCTGAATTCATCTTCCATCTCCTTGAGCTTTGATAGCTGTCGATGAGTTTGTAGCTTCCCTAAAGCCGGGCGGACACCGTACGGTTTCCGGCTGATTTAGACACTTTTAAACGAAGTTAAGTTGAGCTAAGTTGTTAGTTTTCAAATGAGACTGTATTTGTGCTTGTCGTCCATACAGTTCGAGAATATGCGTGAACTTTTGCTCCCGACCAATCAGCTGCTCCCGACCTATCAGCTGCTCCTGACCGATCAGCTGCTCCCGACCGATCAGCTGCTCCCGACCAATCAGCTGCTCCCGACCTATCAGCTGCTCCTGACCGATCAGCTGCTCCCGACCAATCAGCTGCTCCCGACCAATCAGCTGCTCCCGACCGATCAGCTGCTCCTGACCGATCAGCTGCTCCCGACCGATCAGCTGCTCCTGACCGATCAGCTGCTCCCGACCGATCAGCTGCTCCCGACCAATCAGCTGCTCCCGACCAATCAGCTGCTCCCGACCAATCAGCTGCTCCCGACCGATCAGCTGCTCCCGACCAATCAGCTGACTTCCTGTCATGTTTGTGTTTTGACTGCACACGCTCGACAGCGTCCAAAATCACAATGATGAAAGAAACGTTGGCTTTCCCCACGAACAGATACTCAAGTACATTTACTTTGTTAACGTCCACCACTGATAGTATCAACTGTTAGCTTTATGTCCTGTTAGCATCTGATGTCATTAGCTAGCAAAACGGTTGTTAAACTAGCTTCTTCTCCTGTTAGCTAAGGTCCCTTAGTTAGCACCCCAACAATGCTACATTAGCTCTGTGTACTACGCGGCTCAACAGTTCGGTTCCAGAAATAAAAACCCTGTTCATTTTCTCTATGGTCGATTTGATTATTAGCCATGATGTCATAACCATCCCAGGTAGACTGACCACGAGCGACCTGAGTGTGAGACGATGGTTTAAGCTCCTGTTGGAGACACGAGTTCGTCTGATATAAACACGGTTTATTCACGATCACAGCAACTTCTCTGATTGGTGGAGCTCACTGTTGCCATAGAAACTTTTCCCGCCCCACGGCGCCGGTTGCAGTAGATTGTTACGCTAGCAGGCTAGCTAGTTGGCTAGCTAACAGGAAATGTACTAATAACCTTGTTATGCTGCAGCTATAACACACTTGTATTAACATTATAAACATGATAACAACGACTTAAGTTACATTTCAGAAGAAACGATATCAATCGCAATGCATTGTGGGATTGGTAGTTCCGTGACTGCGGAAGAAAATGTTGTACTCAGTCTTGTACCTTTGACTTTATCTCAGTTTTTTAACGCTGTTTTTCATTTCAGCGCCAAAATTGTATTGAGGTAGCTGGTTGTCATGGTTACAGGCTTCAATCTCTTGATGTAAGGATTTTGTTAAATGTCAACGGAGGATTTGAACCAGAAATTTGTACTTCTGGAACCAGAGCTGAAGAAAAAGTGGGCGCTCGCTGTTGAGCTCTAGTTGACAATTTAGCAAACATTGCTTATTCACGTTAGCTTGTTCAGAGGGTGAGTAACCTCCGTTAATGTCACGTTAGCTTAGCCGACCTAACAGTGACAACATGGATCATCAAAGATTCAATCATGACCTTTGCAGAACAATTTCACGGAGAACATTTGGATTGAAGCTTCTGTTTAAAGACACTTTGTGAGATTCTCAAACATGAAAAATAAATGTTTACTTGAAAAGATAAAATCACGTCTCTGTATTTTTCATGTTCCAGCCGAGGTCAGCCATCTGTACGAGCAGGGATCAAACATCTAAAGGAATGAGTCAGCCTCTCCTGGCAACACCAGCAGCATCTCCACTTTCTCCATCATTACACCCCCACTGAGCCGCACACACACACACACACACACACACACACACACACACACACACACACACACACTGCTCATCCGTCTCCCTGAGGCCCCGCTGGAAGTGTGGAAGTGTTATTGTGAAGTTACACAACTCTAAATAGACGTTACAAAACAGCTGCTAATGGGCGTCAAAAACAAATTCAGAACAACATTTGGCCCTAATGTGTCTCATTTGTGAGTAATTATGAACGGCTCGTAAAATATCTGAAACTGTGAGGCCGTGTGTGTGTGTGTGTGTGTGTGTGTGTGTGTGTGTGTGTGTGCATGCATTTTTGTCCACTTGCGTCGGTGTGTTCTCGCCGATCTAATCAAGGCTTCCCCGTGTGGTGTTGGCGTCTTCTTCCCAGCTCTTCTCTGGGCTTGGAGAAAGAGCAAACCCCCCCCCCTCCAGGTCAGACGCCTGTGGCTCCACGCTGCAGATCCATGCTCCAGTCTGCACTCGTTCCCGCATTTCACCGCAAAACTCCCTGACGGGCAGGCGGCCAACCACAGCTATGTCTCCGTCTCAAACCTCCTATTAGAGGAGATGACCCAGAAACAGCAGACATCAAGGCTTCAGCGCTCCGGCTCAGCCAAACGGCCTGACGCGGGGAAAGTGTGTCGTCACTGCCGGGGTAGAGGACTTCAATCAGAACCTCGACAAGCTCCTCTAATCGCCTCAGGAAAGACAAAGTATAATACCTAAATCACTTGGCTCATCATCCAATAAAAGACAATCCTCTGTTGGACTGTTTTTCCATCCTTCAGGTTCACTCCGGGTTCAGCCTGATGTTTTCATACAGCTGTTCTGACCTCTCGTCTCGTCTCGCTTTCTGTCAGCAGTCTGAAGCAGAGCGGCCTTTTCTTTTTTTTCTGTCCTCACACTAAGCTGCTCTGGATGTCAGCTAAATGCCGGAGATATTAAAGCTGCACGGGGGGGGGGATTTATTCTGTGAGGTCTGATCAGTCACAGAAAGAGAGGCGGCGGCGGTGGCACATTCAGATTAAAGATGTACAGTAAAACCTGCGCCACACAAAGCTCTGCTGTCGAGAAGAAAAATACACAAACGCATGAAGCTGCACGGAGGATTTAAAATATTCTGACTGTACAGAAAAATAAAAACTGTATGTTTCCTGTCGCTTTGGAGTGAATCGACGTCATATGTATGAAAAGACTGTACAGACTGTAAACATGAACGTTTGAAGCCTGAGTGACGTCCCCCGTCTGTCCTGCAGGGGGCGCTGGAGTCCCATCGATGGCGGTCTCCATGCTGGAAATGCTGTCTCAGTCTAACTTTCAGTCAACCTAACGACAGGCTGAGAGCTGGAGCTGAGGCGGGTTTTAAACCTCCTGACAAACCGTTACACGCGCCCACCTGTCAATCAGGTCAGCTACACGCCTTATTGTGAATAACTCTTATCCTTCATCAAATCAAAACTGATGAGTCATCAAAACATTCACCCCCCGTACAGTGTGTGTCCATCCAGACATGAGCTAATCACACCTATTTGGTTTTTTGAACCAGGCTGTAAACATGTTCATCTCTGCTGTAAAAACAGGCTTTTTAGAATGGGTGTGTATGTGACTTCCTGTGCTTCTGCAGCCAGCCTCTAGTGGACACTCCAGTAAGGTCGTCATGAAAACAGAATGTTAAACTTTGATATGATTAGAGTAAAAATCTAACGATATTGATACCAGTTTGTTACCACGGCAACAAAAACAGAAGTCCTAGACACCCTGATGTTTTGTTTTTTTCAGGTCGATGTGGTTTCAACAAGTCCTGAAAAGTTGATGACCTCACTGATGACGTTTCTCTTTCTGTTCAGTTCTGTCCCAAAACGTCAGGTCGAACACCTTATCGTACAAAGTCACTGTCCGCCCGCCCGTCTGGCCGCCAGCGCGTGTGTTACATCATCATCAGTAATCTGTGTGTGTGTGTGTGTGTGTGTGTGTGTGTGTGTGTGTGTGAGGAGTCGAGAGCGTCAACTCGTCCTGGACGTCCTCCTGCAGAGCGAGTGTGAGTCATGAGCAGCTGCCTGCCAGCGAGGTTTATTGATGTGACACACACACACACACACACACACACACACACACACACACACACACACACACACGACAGATATAAGAGGGAGATGTTGTCGATAAAAAAGTCAAGATGAAGTCAACATGTTTGTTCCGTTTCTTTCATTTAAGGAGAAAAAAAAGATAATTTTCATGTCTGAGATATTAAAATCTGACCTCTGACCTTTGCCGCATGTCGTTCCCTTCTCTCTACATCTTTAAAAAAAAACTTGAGTAAAGACAGTTAACGTACAAACTAAAGAAGTCACATTTTTCCCTCCAATAAACCGTCCTCTTCATGAGTCTGCTCGTTGCCGTGGTGACGATGTTTCAGACCTCGTTCTGCTGTCACCGCAGGAAGTCTCGTCTTGGTATTCAGGTGTTCTTCTTTTTTAAATTCTGATCGATGATTGAGAATCTGGTGACGCAGGTGAGAAGTTTCCCCTCAGACACATCTGAAGCCTTCAGGGTTTCACTTAAAGTTTTATCTTTGCTGGAAACATCGACACACTCAGGGGGCGTGTCCAGACGTTACTGATTGGGGTCGCCCACTGACTAAAGCAGGGGTGGCCTAAAATTTGTGTTCACACAGACGCAAATAAATGACATTCAGCCTTAAGAAGCCACAGATTCAGCCAATCTGATTCAATTCAATTCATTCAATTCAATTCAAAAAACGATTTGTCCCCGGGGGGCAATCAAAGGCACACAGAGCAGTAAATTAACAACAGTGCAAGTAAACAAAACATTTTAACCTAAATATAAAGTGTCAATTTAAATTTAAATAAATAAAATTGATGGACAAGGGGAGGCGGCTCCACGCTCTCGTCTGAGCGATGTCCAACCAGGAAGCTGCTGATGAGATGAACGAAGAGGTCGACCACGACAGTGAGGCTGTAACAGGTAAGACGTTTGTGCAGGTGTCAGACCGTGCAGCACTTAGTGATTCTAGAGCCTGTTGGGGCCAACTTCACTGGGGGCCCCTCCAACCAGCATTTATCCACATTGTGTGTAAAAACCACAAATCCGTAATATCGACTCATCTCAAAACATCTTTTTAAACTTATTCAGTCTGATCATTCTCCACCCGCTCTCATAACTCCTTTACATCCTGTATGTTTATGTTTTTAATGTTCATTTTATCGTTGTGTTGTTACCTTGTTGTTTTTATCTCTGCTCTGTGAGGTGACCTCGAGAGTTTGGAAAGACGCCTTTAAATGAAATGTATTATTATTATTATTAAAATAATCCGACACCAACGGCAACTTTAAGTGACCGACTTCAGTCTTCACACCGAGCGCTGTCACACTGCTGTGGTTTAAAGTTTGTCAGTCCTCGGGGGGCCCCCCTACTGGCCCAGTGCCACAAGCAGTTGCCCGCCCTTGCCTGTTGACAAGCAACGCCTCTGGGATTTTTTTATTTCTTTTTGGATAATTATTTTTATTACTTTCATGCTTTCCATCAGCCAAAATAAAACCATGAACTTAGTTTACACTTTTCAGAGTGAAAACTCCTCTGGGATTTTTAAGTGACAAACCAGGTTTTGAAGTTGATTCTGTAAGAATAAAATAGATGTCGTGTTTTAGTTTTGTTTTTGGTACTTTTTGATGCTTTGGATCATTGAAATAACGGATTGTATCGTTTGAAAACACAAGGTCTGTGTCTCTGAGATGTAGAGGAGTAGAAGCTCACAGAAGGAGAGAATGTGAATCTAGTAGAACTTTAAAGATGATGCTGAAGTAAACACACTCCCCAGTGATTGATTGGGACTGGGAGATATTCCAGTTTAAAGTACTCCTTTCATACTGGGATTCATGCCAAGGTGTCTTGTGTTACCTCAGGCAGGAACAGACCAGTTATCATCAGATCTGCTGTGTGTGTGTGTGTGTGTGTGTGTGTGTGTGTGTGTGTGTGTGTGTGTGTGTTTGTCATGAGAGCTCCTCTGCTGTCTCTGGGTTTGATCAGCTGCTTCCACAGATGGAGCCTCGCTGCGTAAACTGTGCGTAAAAACAGGAAATCCACGCGCGTAAAAGCCTACAGAAATCACCTTTGACAGGTGGGTGGAAGATAAAAGAAAAAGCGCCCTAACCCCCACCCCACCCCCTCTCTCTCTCTCACTCACCCATGTTGTATCCGTACGGGGACTCGGTGGCTCCGTCCTGCAGGCTCGCCAGGATCTCGCCCTTCCCCACGTCGCTGTCTCCCACCAGCAGGAACTTGAGCAGGAAGTCGTACGCCCGCGCCGGGCTGCTTCTGTGGCTCATCCTCGCGCCAGGTGACAGCTGCCGTGTCCCATGATGGGATGAGACCCGGCACCGTAAAGCCTGAACCCTCTCCTCCTCAGAGTCCTGAACCCTCTCCTCCTCAGAGTCCTGAACCCTCTCCTCCTCAGAGTCCGGTCAGAGACGAGAGACAGACACGCGCTCAGGTGAACCCGGGTCGGTTAAAGTCCCTCGTCGGGGGGGGGGGGACTCTCACTCTGCGTTTGTTTACATGCAAAACACAGTTTGGTCACCTGGTTCAGATGGTGAAAATAAAAACTACAAATCCCACTGTTGAATCCACCAAAGTGCTCTGTGGATGGAAAGTATAGCAGCAACCTGATGACTCAAACGGTTCCGTTCTGCTCCTGGACTCCGGACTGAAGAGGACTGACGGATCCCTGCTATTCCACCCGCCGCCTCCTGCTCTGAGGGGGAGGGGTCTCGGGTCGGGAGAGAGAGAGAGAGAGAGAAGGGGGGGGAGAGAGAGAGAGAGAGAGAGAGAGAGAGAGGGGAGAGAGAGAGAGAGAGAGAGGGAGAGAGAGAGAGAGAGAGAGAGGGGGGGAGAGAGAGAGAGAGAGAGAGGGAGAGAGAGAGAGAGAGAGGAGAGGTGGGAGTCTAACCCCGCTGGCGTCTGATTGGTCCATCCTCTGAGTTGCCATGCCAACCTGGAGCCCGGGACCTGACGCTGGAGACGTTCATTCGCTGCCTGTGTGACGTCGTCTGTACAGGATGAAAAAGAACGTACTGCATCCTGTTTGTACCTTCAAAATAAAAGTGTGTGAAAGTGCTTAAATGTCTTAAAACAACACGTTGAAAATAGTAAAGTTATTTTGACTTTATCTTTTTTATAAGCAGCAGAATTTAGATTGTTGGGCTCCTATTGGTGTCTACAACTTCATGCCCTATAGTCTGATTAAAGTAAGAGTTGATGATCCATTTCTCACTCCCAGTAAACTCTACTAAAATTCTTCTTTAGCACTTTTTTTCCTCTGCTGCCACCTGGTGGCCAAAACAGCAAACTACACCTCACAAGCTCCTCTCCTGCAGAGCCTCATAAAAACATCTTAAAGTTTGTTTTCAACTAAATTAAAGAAAATTGCAGCTCTTAAAAACACCTGAATAATCTACCTTAATATTATTTAATAATATATTAAATATTAATTTAATATGTAAGTATGGGCTGAAAACATCGTCCTTCAGCTTCAGGAGAAATGTTTGCAGATTTAAAGAAATAAAACAGAGTGTTCAAACCTTTATTACAGATTTAAATATATTATATTCATTCATCTTCAGTGTGTTGAACAAATCAATCAGTCCAATCAGTCGGTCTCTCGGGCGTCAAACACAAACAGTCTTCAGTCTCAGATCAACGCCCTCGAGTCACGGCGCCCTTTAAAGAGAAGAGTCAAGTCTCTGAAGGTCAAACGGTCGATTCTGATCCACGTCAAAGGTCAATGTGTGATGTCATAAGGTCAATGTGTGATGTCATAAGGTGGATATTACTGTCTGAGAGTTTGTGAAAGTGAAATGAGACATTCAGAGATGCAGCAGTGAGACTACAGGGAGACACTGAGGACCGCTATCTACGGAGAGCCTGAAGGGACAAACTGAGATTAATTGTGATTGCTGACAGCCCGATATCAAACATTAAGTCAATAGAGGTTGTGTCGTTTTAAAACATGTGGTATCCAGGAGCTAAATGTTGCTGATGATTCTCTCGGCTACGACCAGACGTCCTGAATCTCTGATGACGTGGGACAGCAGGAAGTCATCTCAAAAAATGTTCTTCACAGTCAAAGGTTTCGTTTGCATTTTAACTTAACAACAAAACTTAAGTTTTTAGTTTTAGTAGGGATCAGGATCAGGATCGGGATCGGGACCGGGACCGGGATCAGGATCGGGATCGGGACCGGGATCAGGATGATGGCGCCCCTGTCGGGTCAGTTGTAGCTGTATCCGGGCAGAGGAAGTTTCTGCCCCTCTTTGGCCTCGAAGAAGGTGTAGGACAGGATGATGGTGTCCACGCGGGCCATGCGGGGGTCCTCGTCGAACTCGGGGTCGATGTAGAAGAAGACGGGCATGTCGACCTCCTCGTGAGGGTTCAGTCGCTGCTCCTCGAAGCAGAAACACTAAAAAGATACGACAAAGAACACTTTTAGAGAGCTGAGCTTGGACCCGGAGCGATGCGTTCAGGGTACGCGTGTGGAGCAGCTGTTACCTGGATCTTGTTGAAGTACTGCCCGGCGTCGAAGGGGACCACGTTGTAGGTGGAGATGCCGATGATGGGTTTGTCTGTGGGGTTCTTTGCTTTGTAGAAAGCCAGCGCCGTCTCACCTGGAACCACCTGGACATCACAGAACCAGAGTCAAAATATGACAAACGTTTTGATACCAAAAATATATATTTTTTATTTTTTTAAATCTATTTTCTAAAATCTATATTGTGGTATCGATCTATTTTTTGTACATTCTTAATTTTTATTTTTTTATTTAAATTGTACTGTGTTCTCTTTGTGTCTGCAGTCTTTGCTCTTTGCTGCTGTAACGCTGTAAACTTCCCCGCTGTGGGACAGATAAAGGATTCTCTTATCTTATGAAGAATCCTCCTCATCTTGTGTGCAGAATCAAAGAATAAAGATTTACGATGAGAGTTTAAACTTACAAAGATCTCCGTCTGCTGCGGTTTGAAGTTCCACTGCATGCTGGCGTGTCGATCTGCGTTGAACGAGACTTTGATGATGCGTTCTTTCACCGGCTTCATCGTCTCCACCTGATCTGTGTCATGGCCGGCCACCGCTGTGCCGCCAAGTCCCGACGCCTGTCACACAAACACACAGCTGTCACACCTGCAGCCTGGAGGTCGTCACACCTGCAGTCTATAGGTTACAAACAGGAAGTCGTTTTGTTTTTTCCCTCACCTGGCAGTAGAGCCTGTAGAGCGGCACGGCGGCGTACGATAGGCCGATCATTCCCACGCCCGCAGCAGCGATGTACGTCAACACCGTCTTGTTCCTGGCTTTCCAATCCTCCTCCTGGCTCTTGGACTTCCTGCTCCGGCTCTTCACGCCTCGGCTCTGAGTGTGGGAGCGCAGAGGAAGCTTCCGGCGCAGGAAGTGCTCGGCCTGAGAGTGCAGCGTCCTCTGAGTGTGGCACCGGGCGCTTCCTGTCAACAACACCGGAGGGCAGCGGAGGGACTGACGCAGCAGGAGGGGGAGCAGCATGGCTGGACCTGCAGTCAGTCCACACCTGGAGAAGGGTCAGCGGGGGGAGACCTGGACGAAGAGGAACGCCAGGAGTCAGACACGCTTTATTTTATTCCCAACAAAAATAAACATATCTGCAAGTTTTATGAACTTAATGAACAATTAGACTTTAATCTTTTAGTTTCCATAAAACATTAAAAAGCCCAGGAAAGTCCCATCACAACCAGCATCGACATGGAACCATTATACATTTGTTATTTAAGTTAGAAAATGACTTGTTGTTGAATCATAATTGAAACTGTCTCTTTAAAACCTACTGGACCAAACTCCGTTCAAAAAGTGTAACATTAAGTTCAACTTGCTTACTAAAACATGGGACCTGCCTGTTGTAGAACTAATAAATACATTTTGTAGCATGGTTAAAGCCACTCTTCAATTCGGCAAAATAATACTTTTATAATCATGAACTCTTTGGATGTAAATCAAGCTGGAAACATCAGAAACCCTCTGATCGAAGCGGCGGCTGCTGCTGGGCTACTGAAGCTGCTTCTAAAACCGTCATTTTTAATCACGTACTGTTTTCTTGGTGGGTCACATGTAAGCCGAATTATCCAGCAAACACTGAAGATTATATAGATATCCACAGTGTCACATTGAGGTGTGTGATATTCTGATAAAACACAGAAAAGTCTTAAAATCGAAGCTTTTCAGGTGAGGTTTGGATGATTTTTGAACCATGCAACATTATTTTCGGTCAGCTGACTTTAAGTATTTAGGTGAGTGTCACTGATGTTGACTGAACTGAATTGATTTAATTATCTTTATTAATCGATTAAATAATAAATTCTTACATCCGGCTCCTCTGACCGGTATCAGCACTGATCTTAGCTTAGCATGCTAACAGGACTGTTAACGCCGTAATAACTTTGATATTTGTAATTAAACATTATCTTTAAAAAGTACCTTAAAGAAGAGCTTCACTGTCATTCACCGCTGAACAGAAACACCAAACATGTTGAAGGAAACACATATAACTGTTGTGCAACACAGAAATAACTCCCCAGTCCCCTCTAGACACAAGCGCAAAGGTTCCGCATGATGTCTTTATATTTACTCAAAACTACAACAGTGAACCTTCACTCTCCTTCATTTTCAAAAAACATGAAGGACAAATAAAGAAAAAAGAGAGTAAACAACAGAAACTTTGAACCAATATTTTCCTTTTAATGTCACTTTGTAAGATAAAATAAACCGTCACCGTTCAGCAGTGAAAAGACGAGAACAAAGCGTGCAGTTTATTACAAATAAAAATAAGAATACATGAGAATAAATACAAATGCATTGTCTTTACAACTCTTCAGGGTTGTACCAATCAAATAAACTAAACACCCGTTAATTACCAAACAAACAAAGAGTTCATACCTTCAGACATGTCGTGCAGGAAGTAGGAAGTTAAGGTGACAGTGAATGAGAAAAGGTGTCATGATAAGAGCAGGATAATGCAAAACAAGAGATGTTAAAGGTGCAATATGTAGCTCTGGCCCCTAGTGTTTAAAATGGGTACTGCAGTCTGAATTCTAAACATCGTCCCCAGCTGTCTCCCCCCCCCCCTCCTCTCTAGAGTCCATGCTCACTCAGGTCACCATGTGGTGGACTCTGAAGCTTCAGAGATCAGTCTGTTGACGTCCTGGTGTGGACCAAAGTCTGGAGGCTGGAGAGGTGCCAGGTCACTTCCTGGATTATTGGTACCTTCAGCACCGAACCCCCAACAGCTGTGACACGCTCTCAATGCATGTCACCAGGTCGTGTGTATATGTTGGGCCCACCGGAGCGAGCCTTCCTCGCCGGTTTGTTGTTTCTGTCAATATTTGTTTAATTAAAAAAAAGAAAAGTAAGAAAGACGATGGTTAAAAATGTCAAAACAAACACATTAAAGATGAAAGGAAATAAAACAATATAAAACAATATAAAAAATAATAAAACCACCAAAAGATTTTTTTAAAAGAAAGATTAAAACCATCAAAGGAAACAGATTAAAATAATAAAAATATAGAAAATACCGCCTTAATTTGGAATAAAAGGTAAAACCCAGAATAGATAATAATTCCTGTAAAAACAACAGCTATAAAACGTGTTTTAAAGAGTATAAAGGTCATTTTGTTGTGTTATTTCCTTAAGTTTGTATTTTTATATGTATATTTGTGATTTGAAGGATCTACGGTGGCCGTGTGAGGTCAAAAACGCGCTCTCCGCCCGTTCTGAGGGGCTGCTGTAGTAATGGAGGGGGTCACAGTCGGCCAGGTATTTGATGCGGAATGCATCCTCAGCAAACGGCCCAGAAAGGTAAGAAATCTCCGCTAACGGCTCCGCGGGGTTTCCTCTGTACACCGGACACGGTTCTTCACGTGACCCTGACCCCTTTTCTGTTCTCTTCTTCAGGGAAAGTTCGAGTATCTGGTCAAGTGGAGAGGGTGGTCGTCTAAGTAAGTAGCTAGCCCGCTGCTAACGACACATACAGAAGTTAGCCCGCTGCTAGCCGCCGCGGCTAACGACACATACAGAAGTTAGCCCGCTGCTAGCTGCCGCGGCTAACGACACATACAGAAGTTAGCCCGCTGCTAGCTGCCGCGGCTAACGACACATACAGAAGCTAGCCCGCTGCTAGCTGCCGCGGCTAACGACACATACAGAAGTTAGCCCGCTGCTAGCTGCCGCGGCTAACGACACATACAGAAGTTAGCCCGCTGCTAGCTGCCGCGGCTAGCGACACATACAGAAGTTAGCCCGCTGCTAGCTGCCGCGGCTAGCGACACATACAGAAGCTAACGGGGTGAAAAATGGCAGCAGACAATGCCAGGCTCCGCAGCCGTGTTTACGCTCCTGCTGCGGCTGTTTGTAGCCCAGCAGAGGGTTTAGAAACAGCCGGATCCTCTGTCGCACACAGACCTGTATCACACTGAAGTGATTTCTGATCTATTTTAATGTTTTTCTGAGCAGTTTGCACCCCGAGCAGCTGATGCTAGCTCCACAACACAAGCTGCAAGCTGCAGGCTGCACAACACAAGCTGCAGGCTGCACAACACAAGCTGCAGGCTGCACAACACAAGCTGCAGGCTCCACAACACAAGCTGCAGGCTGCACAACACAAGCTGCAGGCTGCAGGCTCCACAACACAAGCTGCAGGCTCCACAACACAAGCTGCAAGCTGCAGGCTCCACAACACAAGCTGCAGGCTCCACAACACAAGCTGCAGGCTCCACAACACAAGCTGCAGGCTGCAGGCTCCACAACACAAGCTGCAGGCTGCACAACACAAGCTGCAGGCTGCACAACACAAGCTGCAGGCTGCACAACACAAGCTGCAGGCTGCAGGCTCCACAACACAAGCTGCAGGCTCCACAACACAAGCTGCAGGCTCCACAACACAAGCTGCAGGCTGCAGGCTCCACAACACAAGCTGCAGGCTGCACAACACAAGCTGCAGGCTGCACAACACAAGCTGCAGGCTGCACAACACAAGCTGCAGGCTGCACAACACAAGCTGCAGGCTGCACAACACAAGCTGCAGGCTGCACAACACAAGCTGCAGGCTGCACAACACAAGCTGCAGGCTGCAGGCTGCACAACACAAGCTGCAGGCTGCACAACACAAGCTGCAGGCTGCACAACACAAGCTGCAGGCTCCACAACACAAGCTGCAGGCTGCAGGCTCCACAACACAAGCTGCAGGCTGCACAACACAAGCTGCAGGCTCACAACACAAGCTGCAGGCTGCAGGCTCCACAACACAAGCTGCAGGCTGCACAACACAAGCTGCAGGCTCCACAACACAAGCTGCAGGCTGCAGGCTCCACAACACAAGCTGCAGGCTGCACAACACAAGCTGCAGGCTGCACAACACAAGCTGCAGGCTGCACAACACAAGCTGCAGGCTCCACAACACAAGCTGCAGGCTCCACAACACAAGCTGCAGGCTGCACAACACAAGCTGCAGGCTGCAGGCTGCACAACACAAGCTGCAGGCTCCACAACACAAGCTGCAGGCTGCAGGCTCCACAACACAAGCTGCAGGCTCCACAACACAAGCTGCAGGCTCCACAACACAAGCTGCAGGCTCCACAACACAAGCTGCAGGCTGCACAACACAAGCTGCAGGCTCCACAACACAAGCTGCAGGCTGCAGGCTGCACAACACAAGCTGCAGGCTGCACAACACAAGCTGCAGGCTCCACAACACAAGCTGCAGGCTGCACAACACAAGCTGCAGGCTGCACAACACAAGCTGCAGGCTGCACAACACAAGCTGCAGGCTGCAGGCTCCACAACACAAGCTGCAGGCTGCACAACACAAGCTGCAGGCTGCACAACACAAGCTGCAGGCTCCACAACACAAGCTGCAGGCTGCACAACACAAGCTGCAGGCTGCACAACACAAGCTGCAGGCTGCACAACACAAGCTGCAGGCTCCACAACACAAGCTGCAGGCTGCAGGCTCCACAACACAAGCTGCAGGCTCCACAACACAAGCTGCAGGCTCCACAACACAAGCTGCAGGCTGCACAACACAAGCTGCAGGCTGCACAACACAAGCTGCAGGCTGCAGGCTCCACAACACAAGCTGCAGGCTGCAGGCTCCACAACACAAGCTGCAGGCTGCACAACACAAGCTGCAGGCTCCACAACACAAGCTGCAGGCTGCACAACACAAGCTGCAGGCTGCACAACACAAGCTGCAGGCTCCACAACACAAGCTGCAGGCTCCACAACACAAGCTGCAGGCTCCACAACACAAGCTGCAGGCTGCACAACACAAGCTGCAGGCTGCACAACACAAGCTGCAGGCTGCAGGCTGCACAACACAAGCTGCAGGCTCCACAACACAAGCTGCAGGCTCCACAACACAAGCTGCAGGCTCCACAACACAAGCTGCAGGCTCCACAACACAAGCTGCAGGCTGCACAACACAAGCTGCAGGCTCCACAACACAAGCTGCAGGCTGCACAACACAAGCTGCAGGCTGCACAACACAAGCTGCAGGCTGCACAACACAAGCTGCAGGCTGCAGGCTCCACAACACAAGCTGCAGGCTGCAGGCTCCACAACACAAGCTGCAGGCTCCACAACACAAGCTGCAGGCTGCACAACACAAGCTGCAGGCTGCAGGCTGCACAACACAAGCTGCAGGCTGCAGGCTGCACAACACAAGCTGCAGGCTGCACAACACAAGCTGCAGGCTGCAGGCTCCACAACACAAGCTGCAGGCTGCAGGCTCCACAACACAAGCTGCAGGCTGCACAACACAAGCTGCAGGCTCCACAACACAAGCTGCAGGCTGCACAACACAAGCTGCAGGCTGCACAACACAAGCTGCAGGCTCCACAACACAAGCTGCAGGCTCCACAACACAAGCTGCAGGCTCCACAACACAAGCTGCAGGCTGCACAACACAAGCTGCAGGCTGCACACCACAAGCTGCAGGCTGCAGGCTGCACAACACAGCTGCAGGCTCCACAACACAAGCTGCAGGCTCCACAACACAAGTGCAGGCTCCACAACACAAGCTGCAGGCTCCACAACACAAGCTGCAGGCTGCACAACACAAGCTGCAGGCTCCACAACACAAGCTGCAGGCTGCACAACACAAGCTGCAGGCTGCACAACACAAGCTGCAGGCTGCAGGCTCCACAACACAAGCTGCAGGCTGCAGGCTCCACAACACAAGCTGCAGGCTCCACAACACAAGCTGCAGGCTGCACAACACAAGCTGCAGGCTCCACAACACAAGCTGCAGGCTGCAGGCTCCACAACACAAGCTGCAGGCTGCAGGCTCCACTGGATCCACGAGAAATGAAACATAAACACATGAAAATGTCTTTAATTTGTCTTCAGTCATGTGTTATTTGATTAACTTTGCAGTTATTGTGGTTTCAGATCAGTTTAATCCTCCATCAGATGTGAAGCTGCTGCTGTGTTTACATGTTTTTGTTTATTTGTCAGGATCCATCAGATGGTCTTCAGGTCTGTGTGTTTAGGGGTCCTGACCCACCTGGGGGGT